TCATCTATTAGCACTCACGTGATGTGTGATCGTTGAACCGTCAACTCGTCGATAGACGTGCGTCCCTCGTGCAAGAGCTCCTATGCTTTTYACTTTTGTTCTTAGGATATTTGGTTCTTGTTTCAGAAGCTTATTGCAGGCAGTTATCACAATAACGTCATTTCCTTCACGAATCGCCACTCCACAGTTGCAAGAAACATGCCAACATACCCACAAACGTGTGTGTATCTAAAATGTAAAATACCACAATTGGACTATTCCAACCCTACCCCACCCCCTTTTAACACCAAAAATAGGAAAACCCTTCCCTCTTTTTTTCTTTGTATATTAAGTGCATCTGACCTTCTTTTTCTTCTGCATTTTTTGGAGGAAAAGGGGAAGGTCGGGTAACTGTATACTATGGTGCACAAATGTAATCACAGACTTTTTATTTTATCTGTAGAACATACTTCGAATTTTCGTCTTTTGTTGCTGTAGAGAACGTAGTCTCCAGGCTCGTAGAAATCATAGTACCTTTACAAGAGAATAAAATAGGCAGTCATTATTTATTGCGACTCCCAGTCACACGCGAACAACTAGACTTTCATCACAAACGAAAAMTTGAGTTTGAGTGGACGTCAATCAAAAGGGTTTCTATCGTTTCTATTGGTTTCTACACCAGGACTGGCGTGAATACGCACGTGAACAAGTTCAAAAACCATTGCCCTTATCTCATGTTTCTTGACGCTATAAATTTCTCGCTCGGGATATATTTTCTCAAAAATTTCACAGGAGTATACTTACGGCTCCGAATCGCTTGATTTCAAAGCTATAACTATGCGCTATGACTATGATTTGAGTTTGTTCAAGATCAGATAAATCAATGCCAAATGCTTTGCATTTAAGCGTTTGAAATTGGGAGTCGAAATCCTTAGACATGTTAACAAGAAACCCTTTTGATTGACGTCCACTAAAACTCAATTTTTCGTTTTTGATTTAGGTCTAAGTTGGTGGCATGTGACTGGGAATCGCAGTAAAATTGAATGGAGTTGGCCCAGGTGTTCYGTTCTCATTTAATGGTAAACATGTAAGGCATACAAACCTGCCATCAAACGTGGTATAGTGAGGATCGCCGGTGGATTGGCACATCGCTGTTTCAGTGTTTTCAATTATAACCTACAATATAAGATACCAAGAGTAAATTGCATTTCTGTAAGCCTCTTTTACCAGAGAAGGCAGCCCTCCTCCCAAGACTTTCATCGACGTTCACAAGCCTCTCCTCTTCCCTTCCCTTCTTTTTTCTTACTCTTACGAGATGCGGAAAAGCTTAAAGGGTGTGCCAACACCCAGATTACGCGGAACTTACCTTAACTGATGAAAACCTATAAAGCCCCCAAAATGGATGAGTATTTTCAATTGAAAAGTGATACTCTAGTGTTGCAGCGTTTTCTTTTTGGTTGTCACAGATTCCTTTGATTTTGATTTTCTTTCCATTTTTGATATCCGCGGTTCTTAATTTTAGATCACACGTATCTAGCGCACTCTCTTTGTCCACTTCCTTGAATTGACTTGGAACGAATATTGAAACTGGTACATAGTCAAACTTGGTCATGTCATCTGGTACAACAGGGACAGTTGGTCGAAAAGACAAGGTCACGGTTCGATCTTTCTCGCATTCATGCACCAGGGCAGTCAGAGGAGAGATCTGCAATATATAATCAACGATTGAAAAAAAAAAGACTATTTCAATTTGGCCCTAAGGGATCCAAACATGACTCTGATATGTGCCATGCTGTTGGATAATATGGCTTTTAGTTAAGATGATAAATATATTAGTAAACATATTGCATCTTTTTCTGTCAGCGCTTTTGTAAGAACGAAGAAGAACCTTCTAGACTTTATTATATTCTGCTAAGCACCCAAGAGCGGAGATATGAGGACTCCATGCAGGTCAGCTCTGTCAGACGTCAATTCCTCTTGGAATCCCTGCATATATTGATACCAATACCTTGTGTCTGGCTCGATTATTGGAGAATTCTATTCCAATATTTCTTCTTGTTTAAGGGRAAATTTAGTAAATTTTAGGAATGTTTACAAGGAAATGGGCATGCACGTTTTTGGCCTACAACATGATAATAATTATAAGAATGGGAACAAGCTAAGAGAACAGAAAAGTTATTAGTTTTTACCTCAATCCCAACAAAGAAACTATCGCTCTCTCTACATAACGCTGTCCAATTATTTTTAGGGTTTGTAGTGTATTTCATGCGAAGTTTGCAACCAACCTAAATATTAATGAGAGTAAATGACAGGTTTTAACGGCTTAACGCAAAAATGAGGCAAATGGGGACAGTTATGTGACAAAAAATGGGTTGAAGCGAAATACGGTTTCGGGCGAAGAAATTAATGAAATAGCAACTTGCCAAATTCTTATATTGGATGCATGGTCATAAAACAAAGTTACGTTTGMAGCTAAAAAGCAAAGTTTTAGTTTACTACTGCTTCATTTTTTTTCATKAAATAAAATCGTCCCGAAGACATGGCTAAAACAATTAAACAAGTCAGAATCAATCTTGTCTTATATAACAATTCTATACTTACTCTATGCCCTGCATGATAATAACCATGTTGTAGCTCACTCTGTCTGACGCTACAAGCCGGACCATCATTAAATGGATTTTGGTTCACACAAATGGTATCATTCTTAACCGAGAATCCATCAGTAAACCATTCAACCTGGAATGACACGTTTTTCCAAAGAGGGAACTGGAACTTGCATAGCATCGTCACTCGTGGTTTATCGTCTTCAAGATAAGTTACCATAGGTAACGGCACGAGGCGGAATGGAAAAGGCGTGATAGTTAATACTGAAAAAAAAATTCTCTTTAGTATGAATTCCTCACACGACATCAGTTTGTGTCGAATAAGGTTTCTCGGCCAAATGCTCGTCTCATTTCAGAATTCCTCTTGATATCTAAGAAGTCATTTTTCTGTTTTAGTTTGTCTGACCAAGCTGTGTGGCATTCCAAGAGCAGGGTGTGAATAAAGGGATGCTTTCTCCATTACTGACCCTACATAGATACTAGGGTCGAGAGTGTTTGCCATTCATCATAGTTTTGATGTAATTTTTAATGAAAAAAAACAACTCGTAATTAAGAATTCATGTGGTTTCTGTGCATTGTTTGTCACTTGTTTCTCGAGTACTCTCGTTTTCACCTCCCCGCCCTAGAGACCAACTGATGAATAAAGTACATGTTTGTATGGGCGAAGAATGAATTTGATTTTGCATATGCGTTAGGTTCAAAAGTATATGTATATTTAACACAACATTYATATCAAAAGTGTGAAAATATAAGATATATATATATATAAATATAATATAAGAAATATAAGAAATTGCTCCTGCGCATGCGCACATACTTTAACGCTTGCATATTTTTGTATAGTTTTAGTATGGCACCTCCAGATAGAGGAACGGCTATTCGAACAACATTCTTGCTGCGAGAATAATCAAAGCATTATTTGCCTATGGACAAACAGACAATCTTTTTGGCGGTAAGTACTCATGAAAAACGATCTATAGCAACATATTACCTCTATGATGTATATATATATGCATATATATATATATATATACACTCGATTGCAGAAACGTTGTAGTATACATTATACATTTATACAAATACCTAATGAGATGCATATTGCAATTTTACTTTTTTAACCCACGAAACCAATTGGTTTATAATCTGTAGGATATAAAACACAAGAATAAAATATTTTGACGTTTATTGAATGAAAAAAATAATAAATAAAGCGAGTTTTCTGTTTTGCATATTATTAAATATACTGAATAAATTATAGATATATGTATAAATGTATACTACAATATATATATATATATATATAAGAAATCTGTGAATCAATTTTCCGTAAAATAGTGCTCAATACATCGATAGAAGTAGAGCAGAATATTTGTTTGAGAAGAAAAAGTCAAGACAACATTTTTCCCGACAAGCCTGTTTCGCGAATCGCTTCACTCTCCAGGGGACTCAATGACAAGAATATTCGTTACCATCATTCATATAGAAAAAGTATACATAATTAATCAGTGGATGCAGTTTAGCTGTTGCGTAACAATGCCTTGCCTCTGTGGCGGCATGAAGATACAAGTTCGCTGCGCTTATCCAATGACGAGAGTTCCGGTCGATAAATTTCTTCGATAAGTTTCTAATAATTTATCGACCGGAACTCTCATCATTAAATAAGCGCAACGAACCCGCATCCCCATATATATATATGTATATATAGAATATTACTTACTTCTGCAGTTGGGAACAATGCCTGCTTGACCCTTTGGGCACGGTAAAAGGTTGCCTGTGAATAATAAATAGACAAATAACGCATTATATGAGGGTTCAAATAGGGTTTAGAGGGCTGTTAAGTGCCTCCTAGACTAACTTTGCCAAGCTTTTACTCTTCATCCAATAATATTTTTACAGCATGGCTACACACAAATATTAGTCGTAGGAAATAATTAGTAATGGTTTTGTGACGATGAAAAAAAGCTCTTTGACCCTGAAAGCCTTTTAAGTTTCACAAGAATTCATTCCATGCATATAGGTTCAGCAATATTTTAAGTACTGTTTAATAAACGAGCAGGAGTGTTTTATCGGGTATAAAACACGAGGCGTAGCCGAGTGGTTTTAGACCCGATAAAACACGATCTGCGAGTTTATTAAACGGCTTAAAAAACTCCTGATGTATGTTCTCATACTGTACCGAATTCTTTACGAAATGAACCAAGTTTGATAGAGAAAATCCAAGTTAAAGTTATGCAAATGAAGAGGAATCTATATCAGATATAAAACCTCCTTCACGGTCATGATTTCTATTGTGTTTCCTTCATGAATTATTAATGAGTTTTTAAAATGTTTTTAGTCTAGTATCGATAGTGGTCTAGAATAACGATACAAAGCAAGTTTGCTTTAAAATCAGTAATTTGGAAGTCGTTCATAAATGTGCGGTTACTGTCTTGTAGACACACGCGCAACGTTTTGCGCTGATTCAGACTACAACTATTCCTAACGAGTATAAGCATGAAAACGGAACTAAAACCAATCATTTGTTAATGTTTAATGATTAATTTTTGCGGCTTTATGTTTTTTTATTGTGCCCCAGTCATATAATGTGCGTGCAGGCTGCGTAAGCTGAACTCTATCTCGACTGAAGATTTCGTTACAAGCAAACATGAACGGGCACATCATTGCGGTGACCTACCATATAAGACCACGTACTCAACCACAAGCCGTGCCCTATTTAGTACCTATATACTACGAGTATCAAGTAATACGCATTTTAATGTCAGCCAAGTGACACACCCGTATCGGTCTAGCCACAGCTGTTTCCTACTATATTTTCAAACTCTTCTGCCTAAAATACTGTTATAAGACTATTATCTAATGATAATCACCACTTAAATTTTGATGCAAGAATATTCTATATTAATTTTTCAAATTAATAATATAATAAATATTGGAAGATTTATTTGAACATATTATATTATTAACACGAGGTCGAGGGTTTCGTTTGTAGCGTTGCCAAGCGTAACGTTTTAGAAAAATACAAAAATATACCATAAACTTTTTTTCAAGTAAGTRATTTAACTGTTGAATATCAAAAGTAAAATTCAAAAGATTTATTAAAAAATACCTGCACAGTAAGCCATAGCACACCCTGCACTCGGCTGCAGCTTGTACACAAAGAATTCTCCGCAGTTTTTAACCGCCATTGGTTTTGGTATCATACAACCACCAAGTCTGTTGTTTACATTAGTACAAGCAAGAGCTGTAGCGACGTCTCCTTTAGTCGTGGGGTGCGTTCCTTTCATCCATATAGGCGCTACTGTCCCACACTGGTACGGTTCTAGCTTTTTTGTGGGCATTTTCCCACCGACTTTGTTGGTAAATCTGTACCATCCCGGTGTGAGCTTATTATCACATATTGCCGTCTCCCCTGCTATAAGTTTGTACTTGGTGCTGCGGTAAGGATCGTTGATCGACTTGTAGTCTGTACATGGGTCTTCTGCGCCGTAACAACTGGGGGGAATCCATAAAAATGTACAAAGTACCAAAACCACTAATGGTCGTACAGCAGCCATGTTCACTACGAGCGTGGATATGGAAATTATTCTAGTGGATTATATAAGTGAACGCTGACCTTTTGGTCAAAATTCTTTATGTAGTAAGTCTATATCTTAGGCACGTCGACAGAAGCATATTTACATTATCGCTGCTTGATGAACAATAAATTATTATCCCTTAGATACATCAGTCAAATTCATATTGATATTTTAATAGCGGTGTACTGTCTTTATTATCACGCGAGAAATTATTAGGTCACGTGGTCTTTGCGTGGCTTACTTCCAAACACATGCTTTATATCTTTAAGTATGGGTCATAAAGTCTCTTAAAGTGAGTTTTTTATAGCGTCGTATAGGGGCCAGTCAGTTTATCATGACAAAAGTCTGCTTGTATAAATAAGATCTGTATCTGGAACTCGTTATTATTCCTCAAGGAAAGGTTTCCTTTTAATCATCGGTGAATGACTACTGACGGTTTAGAACCGAAGCAACATTTGCTTACTCTGTTTGCTCATTACTTAAGATAGATTAAAACCCCTGGACCAGCAGAGAGGAGCCATTGTTATTACGCTACACTCCTTATATTTATCTAGTGTTGTATCTAAGAATTGTCAAAATATTTAGTTTACGGTCAGAAAGATATTACTGACGATATACCTCATAAAAAGGCCAAATTTGATCGGGATGCAAAAACAAAACAACGGGTCATTTAAATACTTATTTTCTTCTCGTTTATCTATTAATAAGCATATGATTGTCCAATGTTGAGACGTTCGGTCAAGTACGATTGTAATGTCCACAATCTTAATGATTCAATATTTACTCAACACGCAAACAATACTGACTAATCTAACTTTATTAAATTTTCCATGGAAGACTTACTTTATCTATACATGTACATATACCTTTAGACTACTCGATAAGGGTTGAAAACAAGGGTTGAATCTGCTGAGGTTTTGAATATAGCCCGCGGCTGTTATTGTAATGTGCTATGTGCGGCATCTTGCTTTTCTTCAGACGTTGAAGTGTCTGTCGTTGTGACCTTTTGACACACCATTCCTGACGTGTATATAGGAGGTAGGCAATTTTGGCGAGCTCGCTGCCATAGGAACGGCGTAGCTCATTTGGTTACTTGCGCGGCCTTCACAGCTAGAGGTCCGTGGCTTGTTTTCAGGATCTACACGTCTGTTTCGTCTTTCCTCTGTTCTGTGTAGCTTTAGCTTTAAATACCCATTAAAAGGAGCACTGATGGTCTGAGGGAATAAAGGGCGCACCTTCGCGAACGCTTTATACATAAGCCCCTGGCTCGGGAGATCGCAGCAACCACTCCTCGCGGTATTAAAGTAAAAAAAAACCAAAAGCTTTACCTTTTACATTCAGTACCAAACAATAGAAAATAATGTWTTAGCCATACTAAGGTTGAGGAAAAACTGGGCCGGGTCGAGTTAGAATTGCAGYGCATCATGAAACTGTCTTAGGGTGGGGACATATTTCCAAGATGGTATTGATGGTGTTTGTTGGGACAACCTACGTAGCAAGCAGTTAATGTAATATATTCATATTCCCCCCTCCCCCCACCTCCATCCATCTGGTCCTATTGAAAAATCCATGGATCAAGTATATCATATCTTTCCTTCTAAAAGCATATATTTTACTACATACGTGCGTGTAATCAGGAACTGATACAGTTAAAAACTCTAGAATTYGTCACCATCCTATAATATTCAGCGTCAAAAATGTGATATTTGAATTTGTTCAAAAATTGTTTGTGTGGCCCTGGTTAATGTATTCGCACGTAAACGAAAGGATAAAAAATAAGTTAAACGAAAGGTTTTCCTTTTTCTCTCACTTGACATCGTTTGACACTACTAGATCTAAAAACTGGGGGGGGGGGATGAATAACTGTATTGAATCAATCATGTTTTGMCCGTATAAATTTATTCGTATATATATACAAATTATTCAGTTTTATAAAATGAAAYGAAAAAATATAAAATGAAAAGTTAATTTGTTCAGTACAATTATACTGATAGCAAACATCTGACACTATAAAACAGCGACTTTTAGCTAAAATATGTTTATGGATTGATTTGTCTATTGTGATTAATTYGATCTTATAGAAAATAATTAAAATCTCAACTTGTACGATGACTAACTTCAAAAAATCGACACCCTAAAACAAACTCTGGGCTGACCAAAGTAAGGGCACAGTTTGCTAGGTTTTTATATATTAATGACATAAACTGACGCTGCGGCTAAAAATTAAGATAACATTATACTTAATAGCTTATCTATCAAAGCTGAGCATGGATTATACTGTGAAATAATCGACTATTTGATGCATTATATCGATCAGTCTTCTCCCTCGCAAAACTAACAATCCCCTTCACAGTTCTCTGCGCCATCTTGCAAGTTAGCCGTGCCTTTGCATTGAAGCGAGACGAACGGTGAGCTTGCAATGATAGAGACATAGGAATAATTGTCCAAGGTGTTTAAAAAAGGTCTCTATCATTGCAAGCTCCCCGTTCATCTCGCTTCGATGTAAAGGCACGGCTACCTTTCAAGATGCCGCAGGGAACTGTGAAAGGGACTATTAAGAAAAGTCTTTCAAGTGTTCTTTATTTCTTGGTCGTACGTTTGGAAGTGAACGTTATCGTAGGCGTGTGGACACACATCCACCTTCTTGGGTCCAACCTCGTTGTAAATGTGTTGTGGAGACACGACCATCTCCTTGGGTTGAACTTCGTTGTAAATGTGTTGTGCACACTCATCCATCTCCTTTTCAACATTATCGTAAGCATTTGGACACGCATCCATATCCTTAAGTTCGACATTGCTGAGATAAGGTAGTTGATTTGGATTGATGGCAGGACGGCGCTTAAGCTTTCTATGCACAATCACTGCAACAGCAACAAGGAAAGCCATACCAACCATACCAATCAACACACTCACAAGGACTAGCATCACGTTATTGTCTTTCTCTGGTGTCTTATCGCGGTCTAAAACAGAAACAAAGTCAAAAAGGTATAATTATCCGTTTCCGTGAATGGCAATAAATAAAGACGAATAATTAATTTTCGAAAAGCAAATTTGGGAATGGTCATGGAATTATTCTGCTTCTACCCCCAAATCCCCGATCATCCCCCCCCACTCCATTCACATTATTACAGCTCATGGCAGTTCAAACTGTTTTTCCTATCATACAGAGCAATTAACAATTCAAGAAGCTGAACGACAAAATTATGGTTGTTTCTATCATCATACGTACATGAACGCTCTTCTTTGATTTTGAGTGAGGTAGGGTCCACTTTTAGACTACCCATTTCTCCATCTTTAATTTCTTCCTTTAGTTGCTTAAGAGGGTCAGCGGTCTCCTTTGTGAAAGTCAACTGGAATTCAACAATTATGCTACCTGGCCTAGATATGAAAGAAAAGAAATAAAGAAACAAATTTACATCGTTTAGAGGTATTTTGGCTCATTTGTTATTGTTAAAAAGGACTATTACCTGATCGAAGTTACAGTAACGCTCTTAAAATAGCTATCTTTTGCTTTCTTGAAGAGCTTTTGAATCTGTGAACAAAACATTGAAATATTTTCCCTTTTTTCTGACTGAAAATTTAGAAATTAAGTTTTTAAAAGCTACGAATCTACGGACCTCGTTTTCCACGTATTGTGCAAGATCGATGTAAGCTTTACTCGTTTTTACTCTATATTCTTCCGTCCATTCTTTTAAGATGCGAATTTCGGCTTTTGTAACTAGAATCATGAAAGAAAGAAAGTAGTCATTTCAAAAATGTCCCCTCGCTCCTCCCCACCGATTGTAAGGTGGTCAAACTGAAAATATACAATTTTAGTGTAAATAAATTTGTGTCGTTTTGTATATTTTCTTCCCCTTACTTCCTCTCACTTTAATATGGACACAGGCACCCCACTAGTAGTAGCCTTGTAGAAAATTCAGGCTTTTAAAMATTCTTGAGTAACTACCCGTACCTTGATTTTCTGGAACCTCAGTTGTAATGACTTGTTCTGTGGCGGAAGGGGACCTTGATGTTTCAAAAGTGGCTGGCGTTTCAGTCACTGAAGCTGTTGTTTCTTCTTTGAAAATTACAATGAAATATCATTGATAAAAAAAGGTGGGCGTGGGTAGAGTACAATCAATTTAAATCAGAAAACTTACTACATTTTACGTGTTTGTTGTTGTACTGTCTTTGTTGTTGTTGTTGTTTTTTCGTCGTCGTTATTAGCGTTTTTGCACAGCTGGTTTGACATTATCTACTAACCTTGCTCTACTGTTGTTTTTGTTAAAGGTCGGTTTGTAGACGTTTCCACTAAAAAAATCATATTGTATGAAACTATATGAATGGACTTTCTGTCTTTCTTGTAAGAATCACAATCTTCTATTTACCATGTTCGGTGGTTGTCCGAGATTTTGTGGTAGATCGTAATGTGGTTGTTTTCGCTATGCAAGAAAAAATAAACAAATAAATGGCTGAATGAAGTGAAAGGAGTCCTAAGGTTTATATTTATGTGTATAGGCTCGGCCAAAGAGGTCAGATAAAACCCGGTGCCAAGAGTTCATTAAATGACCATATATACCTTCTTTGGTTGTCGACGACTGTGATGTTGTTGGTCTTTTTGTTGTTGTTTGGGCTTGGAGAAGTGAAAAAAAAAAAAAAGATTATTTTCCTTTATCAAACATTTCATGAAGAGTCAAGTCATGCTTATAATATAAAAAAGGTCATAGTAAATGGGAAACATCAACATCATCATAATGCTTCAGCTGGTACTAACCTAGGCATGTTTTCCCATCCCCAGAGAATCCCACAGGACAAGGTCCACAGGATACTCCACCAGAAATCTCTGTACACGTGACACCAGGGAAACACGTCTGATTGGTGCAGCGAGTCAGTCGTTGATCACACAGGGAACCCGTAAAACCAACATGGCAGCGACATGCGTACTTATTTACTCCGTCAACACAGGTACCTAGAAAATAATTTTATAAATAGTTTTAATAAATTGAATTGAAAATGCATGGAAATCGAAAACAAGGTTTCAATCTCCGTTGCGAACTGAAGTGRACTTGGAGCCGGACTTTATAATATGTCGTCTGCCCATGTTCATATGCTGTCCGATTGGTTATCTCTGCCAATCACTGGTGGATAATGACAAATGTATGAAAATATAAAAAATCATAACTGTTTATCATAAATTTATTCAATAAGAAAATAAGGCAAAGATATTTACCGTTTCCACAATTCACTCTTACGCAGTCGTCAATATTCTTCTCACATCGATCCCCAGTAAATCCTTGAGGACAGATACAATAGTACTGACCAGACCCCCGTGGGTAGTAGGGGTGGGGTGAACATTTGGCTCCATTTTGACACGGACAAGTAGTAATACGTATAGTGATGGTTATGGAATCAGTAGCGTTACACTCGTCAGTGACTTTAAACGCAAACTGTTGGTTAGTTCGTGAATTCGTTTTCCATGTCAACAGACCAGTAGGACTGAATGTATAACCAGTAGCAGTCGAACTTATCAGAGAGTATGTAACAGGACGGTTATCAGGGTCTGTTGCCTTCAACTGCAATGGAAGGTACTCTCCATAGATAGCGTATCGGGTAGATTGATTCTTTGCAAACTGTGGTGGATGATTATCTAAAAAAATAATGAGAAGAACACTTTGTTTTTGGATCTAAAGCCTTTGTTCATATGCAAGATGGTTTTACAGTAGAAGAACCTGAGGTATCACTACCAAAGATAATAAACACAAACCATTAATGAAACTTTGAGAAACCAAGGGGAGTCACAGCTTTTGTCGGTAACTTTTTAATGAAAAGCATTTACTACTACTACTACTACTACTACTACTACTACTACTACTACTACTATAGTTATCGGTCATTTGGTACACTTTTAGATTGAAATTAGAAGACACATTGCTTGAACAAATCCCAAGTCAATAGCATGAAACTCGGGATATATTGGGAGGGACACGTGATACATAGCAAAGTAACGTACGTTCAAGATTAACAACTTTCCTTAAGAATTAGAACACTTCTCCTGGAGGCGGTGTTTTCGGTCGGGAACCTTCAAAATCACGGGNTAATAATAATAATGATAATAATAATGATAATAATAATAGTTCCTGAGCATTATTAGAACTCAATGCTCTTACATAAGTGTCCTAAAAGTCAAAATCAATAAATAAAAATATAAAAATATATTAAAAAAATATAAATATATATAGATTTAATTAAAACCAGGAAACTAATTCGTGCAGTCGAAGATATAATCAAACTCCAGGGCGATATATTAGAATGTTTCAAACAGCTCATTTGGGGTGTATTCCTTACCTAATCTCGATGTCCAACTATACTGTGAGTGTCCCGGCATGCATTTTAGGCACCAGTCACGTGGATTACCTTGATTTTCCGCAAAGCAATGTCCATTGATTACACAAGAATCGTCCTAAAAGACAAGCAAGAAATTTTCCTTTTTGCTTGTTGGCCCACAATTTCTAAACCACCCTTTTCAATTGCATATAATAAAAGCATGCCTGTAGCATAAAGCAGGTCATAAATTTGGCAAGTAGATGCTTTGCCAGATATCAATTGTCTTTAGAAATTAAGTTTCAAAACTGCTATCAAAAATGTGACTAAACAGTTAATGAATATCTCTTGATATTTTCAAAAACTAAAATTTTTAWTTTATTAATTAATTGAATCCATACCCTTAAAGAGCAGTTGCTTGACTTGTTACACGTTATACAAATGGAGTCATATGAAACAAATCTCACTTGCTGCTGACTGGGATGTACACCATCGTTTGACACAGATATCAAAAGTCCCCCTACGGGGGTCCCCTCGTGGTCATAGTCACCCAGTATCGTCGGTGGTTCTGGAAGGTTGCACTTTACTGCAAATAAATCCACCTTTTYTCCAGGAAACTTCATCGTATACGCCTTTGGACGCCAATTGCCTGGCATGATCTTGAATAAGAT